CCCTTTTAGGCACTGGAAGGATCCTTTTAGGTGCAGATGAAGACTTACCCACTTTCCCATTCCCAGGAAAGCTGGGCTCCCATCATGCCTCGTGGTGACTTGGGAGGGAGAAACACCATCACTCCAAGTGTCCCCCTTCCTTCTTCCCTCAGCTCTGTCAGCTGCTATCCCATAGTCTGGGATATCCTGTGGATTAGTTGGGATGGGCTGTCCCAGCTGTGTCCTCTCCCAGCTCCTTGTGCCCTCCCAGCCTCCTGGGATTCCTTCAGGAAAAGGACCATAGATGGGGATAGATGTTGCATGTGTTTGTCTCCCAATCTTTGTTCTCTCCTGTGCTTTTTCAACAGGGACCTCGTGGTTTGTCCAAGGAGAAGACTTGAAATCTGAATCTAGGAAAGAAAACCATTCCAGTGCCATTTCTGGTCCTGGGCCATCCTGGTTTGAGCCCTGGACCAGCACGAAGCCCTGGAGGGAACCTCTCCGAGAGAAAAACTGGGAAGAGCAGCAGCACCACGTGGTTCCTGCAGCAGCTCCAGACAGAGGTGCTGGGAAGGGGCCTGTGCTGCCCTTTGTGAAGCTCACGCTGCAGGTGAGGGCACCTTCCACTGTGGGACTGCTGAGATCTCCCTGGATTTAGAATCCTGGAATGGTTCGGGACCTTAAAACCCATCCAGTTCCACCCCTTGCCACGGGCAGGGACACCTTCCACTAGCCCAGGTTGTTCCAGCCTGGCCTTGGACACTTCCAGGGATCCAGGGGCAGCCACAGCTTCTCTGCCCAACCTGGGCCAGCAGGATTGAGGATTAGGGATCAGGATTTAGGATTCAGGATATGTCACTGAGGAATGGGGGCAGTTTTCTCACACTGAGTCACAGAGCTGGACACACCTTTTTGGTTATTAAACATCAAAGCCTGGGTTGGTTCAGGAGCCATTGGGGGCAGAACTGGTGCCTTCAATCTCTGCAGAACTTCCCAGCACAAAGCACTGGAATTATTTCAGGAGTCCCTGGAGTCCAGAGGGAACATGGGCAGCTCCCCCTGCACTGTCCCACATGACTGCAGGCAGTGAGGAGCACGGCTGCAGGTGCCAAGACAGGTTTGGGGACAGCAAACATGAGCTCCAAGTGTGGCCCCCATGGAGGGACTGGGTCTTTAAGGCAGGGATTCATGGAATGGTTTGGGTTGGAAGGGACATTAAAGCTCATCCAGTGCCACCCCCTGCCATGGGCAGGGACACCTTCCACTGTCCCAGGTTGCTCCAAACCCCGTCCAACCTTGGACACTTCCAGGGCTGGGTTTTGAGTTGTTTCAAGGGTTGTACTGAATCTTGTGGAATCACTTTTTGTTCCTTGTTTTTATTTCCCCTCATGGTGTCTGCAGCTCACAGACCTCTTGTCTCTGGTACCCAGGGACAGCACCCAGGGAATGGCTGGAGCTGTGCCAGGGCAGGGGTAGGGTGGATTTTAGGGAAAGATTCTTCCCCCAGAGGCTGGTTGGGCACTGCCCAGGCTCCCCAGGGCAGTGGGCACAGCCCCAAGGCTGCCAGAGCTCCAGGAGGGTTTGGACAACGCTCTGAGGGACAGGGTGGGATTGTTGGGGTGTCCATGCAGAACCAGGAGTTGGACTGGCTGATCCTTGTGGGTCCCTTCCAACCTAGGATATTCCATGGTTCTGTGACCTTTATAATCATTGGAAACCTCACAAATCGATCCTTTTTGTTTCTGCCAATCTGGCTTCCCTCAGTAAACTTCCCCAGTGTCTTTCCTCAATATTTGAAATATCTGATATTTTAGGGCTTAAATTATTTGGCTTCAGGAACCAGCAGAAATGGAGCTGGTGTGACATCGAGCCATGACTTGTTTCCATGCAGAAATAATCCTATGGTCTACAGAATATTTTTTATTTATTTTATTTTAGTTTTGTTTCATTTTACTTTTCCCTCCCTTATCCTCCCTTTCCCCCCGTTTTCCCCCTTTCTCCCCTCTTCTCCCCTTTCCCTTTTTCCTCTCCCTTTTTCCTCTCCCTTTTTCCTTTCCCTTTTTCCTCTCCCTTTTTCCTCTCCCTTTTTCCTCTCCCTTTTTCCTCTCCCTTTTTCCTCTCCCTTTTTCCTCTCCCTTTTTCCTCTCTCTTTCCCCTCTCCCTTTTCCCTTTCCTCTCTTCCTTTCCCTTTTCCCCTTTCCTTTTCCTTTCCCCTTCCCTTTTTTCCTTTTCCCTCTTTCCCTTCCCCCTTTCCTTTTCCTTTCCCCTTCCCTTTTTCCCTTTTCCCTCTTTCCCTTTCCCCCTTTCCTTTCCCTTTTCCCCTTTCCTTTTCCTTTCCCCTTCCCTTTTTCCCTTTTTCCCTTTTTCCCTTTTTCCCTTTTTCCCTTTTTCCCTTTTTCCCTTTTTCCCTTTTTCCCTTTTTCCTCTTTTTCCCTTTTTCCCTTTTTCCCCTTTTTCCCCTTTTTCCCCTTTTTCCCCTTTTTCCCCTTTTCCCCCTTTCCCTTTTTCCCTTTTTCCCTTTTTCCCTTTTTCCCTTTTTCCCTTTTTCCTCTTTCCCTTTCCCTTCCCCTTCCCGTTTTCCGTTCCCCTTTCCCTTTTCCTTCCCCTTTCCCCTCTCCCTTTTCCCTTTCCCCTTTCCTTATTATTATTATTTTATTCCTCTTTTCCCTTTCTTTTCTTTCCAGCCCCTTAATTTCCCGTTTGTCCCCAAATCATAATCTCCGAGACCACAAGATTTCCCACATCCCACCAACTATTCCCACGGGATTCTTTTCCCACCCTTTGGAATTTGTGGGGATATTTGGGACCCTTTGGGCCATTGAGGGTGTGTTTTGTCCCCCCCTCAGGAGGCTCTGGCCGTTCATCGCCCCGATTTCATCTCCCGCTCCGGGGAGCGAGTGAAGCACCTCAAGCTGGTCATGGAGGAGAGGAGGATCCAGAGGGGGCTGCAATCCCAGCAGGAAGAACTTGGGAATCCCCCCGGGAAGAGGAAGGGCTGCAGGAGTGCCAGTCACCTGCTGGCAGACACAGGTACCGTCAGGAGGCTTTAAAGTCATTAATTCCACTTTTAATTTTAATTTTTTTTGTTCATTTAAACTCATTTAATGAGATTTTAATTCATTAATTCCATTTTAATTCTAAATTTTAACCCATTTGAACTCTAATGAATTGTTAATTAATTCGGTTTTCCATTCTAAATTTGAATACATTTACCTCATTAATGAATTTTAAATTCATTAATTCACTGATTTTAAATTCATTAATTCACTGATTTTAAATTCATTAATTCACTGATTTTAAATTCATTAATTAAGTTTTTAATTTTAAATTTCAATTCAGGTCGTTAATTTAATGAAATTTTAACTCATTCAATCTTTAAATTTCAGTTAGTTTCAATTCATTAATGAAGTTTTAA